GAACTAAATTAAATAGGAGTGGTGATAAGGGACATCCTTGTCTTGTGCCTGATTTTAAAGTAAAGGCTTTCAATTTTTGGCCATTTAGTATGATACTGGCTGTTGGTTTGTCATAGATGGCCTTTATTATATTGAGGTAAAGATCATCTATTCCAATTTTCTGCAAGGTTCTTATCATAAATGAATGTTGGACCTTATCAAAAGCTTTTTCTGCATCTATAAAAATGATCATGTGATTCTTACTTTTGGCTTTATTGACATGGTGGATTACATTTATTGATTTGCATATGCTGAAGCATCTGTGCAATGAATCCCACTTGGTCATGGTGTATAAAATAGATGATTTGTGCATCCTATTTGCCAATATTTTATTGAGGATTTTTGCATCTGTGTTCATTAGGGGGATTGGTCTGTAGTTCTCTTTTTTCAGTTGGGTCTTTCTCAGCTTTTGGTACTAGAGTAATGTTTGTTTCCCGGAATGACTTAGGAAGGATTGTTTCCCTTTCAATTTCATTGAAGAGTTTAAGGAGTGTCTGCATTAAGTCTTCTTTGTACTTCTTGTAGAATTTTGCAGTGAATCCGTCTGGGCCAGCCCAGGCTGGTCTTCAACTCACAATGATCCTTCTGCCTCAGCCTGTGAGTGCTGAGACTTAAGCATGCGACAGCACTGCCGCTTCTCTTTTTATTCTTGATTAGTGTTAAATAGAAGTTATTTGATCCTAAAAACTTCACTTAATATACTTCCAAGTGTTTTCACTAATATTATATGATTTTAACTATATTTAATAAATTATTATTCCTTCTATAGCAAATATATTAATGGGCTATGAATAGGAAGACAAGGAATAAAAAAGCAATTATCAGGCTTTTTATCACATCGTGTGGGATGCCCATGACTTGTTCTCTCTTGCTCTCATCTCTGTCATTTTTTTTAAAGAAAACATACAGCATTATTATTAACCTTCAAAGTGTTTACAGAAAAAATATTTCTTTCTATGCAACAAATGGAAAATTATCCCAAACAAACCTCCTTTCCTTCTCTTGCTTTTTATTTCTTTCTTCCTTTCTTCCTTGCTTGCTTTTTTCTTTCTTTTTCTTTAAATAAGAACTAAAAGTATTCAGAGTAAGATTTTTGAAGGTTAAAGGAATTTATCAAGGATTAGTCAATTAACGAACTAGCTGAATATTTGTGAAATGATTTTCAGAGACTTGCGGGACTAGAGCTGAGCAACCACTGAAACATGTCAAAAAGGCACTAAACAGATACGAACTACAAAGCATACAAGAGTGGAGGGGAATAGAAGGCAAGACAGGGCTTTGCAGAGCTAAGCAAATCAAAAGAATGCAGCTAGAGCAGAAGGTGAAATATAATCTAATGATAAAGGACTTCAAAGAGTAGCGTGACAGTAATTATCTTTACAATATTCACAGCAAGTAATAACTTGTATCTTTAAAGAAACCATCATTATAATTTTATTGACTTAAATGATTAAATTAGCAAAGTATCTAGTCTTAACGAAAAAAACTAATTTTCTTCAATTGAAAGAAAACATCCTTTCCAAAACATAAGCAAACAGATGAGAAATCTTGAGTTCGCCTTCCTGGTAAGCGGCTGTGGTGTGGCAGGCTGCAACCATCTCAGGGGGAGAACCACCAGCATCTCCTGAGATCCTCGTCATGTTGGAACTTAGGGTTCCAAGCAAGTAGCCTGCCCCCCTGGTAAGCGGCTGTGGTGTAGCAGAGGCTGCAGCCATCCCAGGGGAGAACTAGCAGTGTCTCCTGAGATCCGCACCATGTTTGAATTTAGGACACTGGGAAACCAAGCAACCAGCCTGCCTCCCTGCTAAGCAATAGTGAGCCTACCAGTGCATGGGCTGAGAGTCAAACATCCCACTTACCCTGTCCCCTTTAGCAAATGGCAACCAGGGATCTGAGTATTTCTTGGGTGATTGACCATATGCAATATAGCAAATAAGGGGGATTTCCATCTACCACCTTTTTGAAGGCAAATATTTTTTACTACTGTTTTGCTTTATTCTGATTAACGGTACTGTTCTATTTAATACTGTTTTGATAAGTTCTATACTATTTTTTACTTCATTTTGTTTTGCTATACATGATTGAAAGAAATATTGTCAAAATAACGAGATATACTGTGATACCTATTACTGTTATGCCAGTAACCTGCTGTGAAGTTCTGTACCAATTTCACTACACTGTCTCAGTTGGCTTTGTTCTGTCTTGCTCTGTTGTATTTTACTACCTTCAAAATAATAAATAAAAAAATAAACAGATGAGAAATCTAGAACTTTTTTCATTTATGGCTAAGTAATAAGTTACTGTCTTCAAATATTTAAAATATATTTCATGGTATAGTAACATGATTTTCATGCATCTTAAATATATGAAGCCAGTACTTCAGCTTTTTTTTTTTTTTGGAAATTAACAGATACCATATATGGAAGGAGAATTTTTAAAATACATAGCCCCTGGCAAATATTTTTTAGCTCTATATTCTAAGCTAATGTAATGCAGTGTTGGCCAGGACTAGGAGCACAGAAATGTGCTGCACACAAGATTCATTGGATTGTATTGCAGAATCAAATGACTGATTTGAATTTTCATAATTTTACTTGATTACTGAGAATCTTGAAGGTGGAAAGTCCAATTAAACAAGCACTCAGATACTTTAGAATTTCTCAGTGTTTACTTTTTTCTCGAGTTTCCCTGTGGACAAATCTAAGACCAATAAATTTAATTATTTTCTTTAAATCCATGCAACATTTGAGGCTTCATTGTAAAAGTATGCTGTTAATTTGTTAAAAGGAGATAAAAAGAAGTGTCATCACTAAATTAGAAGTTGATGAACTTTTTATTAGTAAATCTTTAAGCTTCACAACTATTTCACTGTTAAAGAGTCAAAACAGCAACAGATAACATAAAATTATTATGTCTCTGTTCCAATAAAGTTATCTAGCAAAACAGATAACTGTCCCAGGTCTGCAGTGTGACAACATCTAGTCTGTTTGTATTTCCACCACTAATACAATCATTAAGCCTCTTTTGAGTTGACTGTTAGTATGAACTCTCTCAATTCTATGGCTACTGTTCAGGATCTAGTACTGATATATAGGAATGCAAATTAGAAATTATTGTGATAAACAATTTGTATCTAATCAATAAATGTTACATACTCTTTTTAAAAAATGAGAACCTGTAACTTCGGAGATATATACTAAAATATTTATAATTGATATATTTGAAATTTGCTTCAAAAATGCCTGAGAGGGAGGGAACATGTGGGAAAATTTCATTAAGTAATTCCCTATTTATAACCTCCTGTAATAGATATTTTAAGTACACTAGTTATACCAACACACATAAATAACACAGCATAACATTTAAGAGTGTGCTTGATAATTACAAGCAAAAGTTTGAACTTTATTGTCTAATTAAAAATAACTTTTAAGTGTCAACACCAAATCTATATTCCACATTACTAATGAGCCTAATTAACAAAATATTCAGGAGCTATGGCATAATTCACCGGCAGAGAATTTCCAGCTTGTGTGAGATTCTGGTGAATCCCCAGCACCACATCCCCACCTCCAGAGTTCAAGCTTAGACATGCTACTTTTTGGATGTATTATTTGAACAAATAATAATCTCAAAAGTACTATGCTTTCCTCATTGTTCTGTTCAAATCAGTTGTATTTAGTCATCAGGCTTTTCTTCTATTCCATGTTAGGAAGTATATAAATTAGCACCTGATAATGACTCATGATAGACTTTTATCATTCACATAAGGAAAGGAGTAGGGAAAAGGTTATGCTAACCTTTGATGGTAAGAGACATAAACAGATGCTATTCATAAATCTTAGTGTGTCAATGGCAATATTGTGGGTTTCCCTTCATCTATTAGTACACGAAGAAGCCAAAAGAAAAATCATGCAGACATGAGTTTTTACTACAATTTATCTCTCATTAAAAACACAAAGCATACGTAGTAATACTAAAGTAACACATAGGCTATGCATGCGAGTCTATGACTATGTGGGTTGAGACCAGATGACTAGAGCTGATCACAAGTCTCACCTTTATTACCTTCTTTCCTTTACAGTTACGAGAAGAGTCATTTGCTTTGAAAAGTATCTTCGGAAAAGAATCAACCCTGAAATGCTTCAGTACTTCTCACAGTCACCAATTCATAATCTGTAATAACTCAGGGCCTTAGCTTGATTGATTGTAGGTTTCACTCACATTGTGAAAGTAATTCTGACCAGGGCATAAAATTGTACAGATGGTTTGATTTTAATTATGTATTTAAAAAAAATACTTACTTGAACTTGCCTAGATTTGAGAATTAAAAATCTGAGAGGAAGGAATCAAGTATTCCAATATATAGATTAATGTTAATAGGCCTAAAAGACAGAATTACAGTTCCGAGTCCTTTTTTTTTTTGAGACAGAGTCTCAGTATTGTACTTCAGGATGGCCTTGAACCCACTATACAGGCCAGGCTGACCTCAAACTCGCAGAAATTCTCCTGCCTCAGCTTCCCAAGTGCTGGAATTATAGCATATGCCACCATGCCTAGCTCCCTCACTTTCTTCTGAATTTTAAAGCACTTTTTTTTTTTTGTATTGGTGATCAAATTCAGCACCTTGCCCTTGCCAGACAGGCATTTAATGCTGCTGAACTATATCCTCACCAAAACATTTTTTGAATATCATGTTATTTCTTTGTAAATGAAACACTAAAATGTTATGAGAAATTTTTAAGGATATATTAACACAGTGACAGGTTAGTAGATTACTAAAATTTAAATATGATTTATTCACTACAAGTGAAGATGCACAAATAAATGTGTAAACAGTTATCTCAAAGTACTGTATATATGCCGCCTCCACTGGCCTCCTCTCAGTATGATAACTGATGTATTATTGCAGATACAGACTTAGTTACTTTTCTCATTGCTGACATAAAATACCCAACACAGAGTTAAAGGAGGAAGAGTTTATTTGGCTGACAATTTGTACAGGTTTCAATCCAGTCAGCTGGCTCCAAGCCAGGACGGCATGGCAGAGGGGCATCACAGAGGAATCCATGGCACAGCAGGCAGAAGGCAGCAAAGCAGCGGCCGCGGCCCTCCATCTCTCCCTTTATATCCATCCACGCTATGAGCCTATTGATTGGTGCCACTGATACCTGGATGGGGCTTCCATTATCCACACCCAGAGTTATGCTGAACCCATTTACTTATCACACACTCTTAATCCCAGTATCACACTCTAGATCAAGCCATGTCTAAAAAGGCCCACCTATGACTACAGATTTTGGAGGGGCATCTAGATAAAGGGGTAACATAGGCTTTATATTTTCTACTAACCTGTCACAGAAACACTAAACAATGAGTTCCATCTCATAAAAATTAGAAGATTTTACTGAATAAAAAAGTTTACTTACTGCCAGGTAGTGTCAATAGTCATCTGTCATTTAACAATAATAATAAATAGACATTTAAAAACAACTTAGCTTCAAAGAGAAAAATATTTAAGAATGTTAAATTTCATTATTTTGAAAAAAAAGTTTTTATAAAACTATCAGACTATGTAAATGATCAACTGTGGGCCATATTTACATAAAATCCATAAATATTCTTAAAGCCTGGGATGTCGGCAAGCCAATAAGAGTTATAAGGAGAATCCAAATGCATTTATTCTTGGTTTACTTCCCCACAGCTACCCCAAGTCACACAGAGCGGCAGGGAAAGGAATCTCTTGGTTGGAACTGTACATAAATGTTAGTCGAGACACCTGTTTTTGTTCTGCTTTAATGGCAGTGGGGTGATGCCAGGGCCCTCACACACTGAAATACATGCCTAGCTGTTTCTAAACTTTTAAACAGCATCTTCCTAATTCACTAAATTGTCCAGCCTGGTTCATACTGCCTCAGATTACCAGAGCTCTGGGATTACAGCACAACATTTGCTCAGAAAAAGATCAACACTCAAAATTCAAAGTTTGACTTCTGTTGAATGTGGATCACTTTTGTCGTAATGAAAAAAAGAGACCATCTGTATTCAATCTCAGATCTTCAAACACAAGAGTTCAATGAAAATGTATAACTGAGTTTTTAACTATAAAGCTGAACATGAACGATATATAAAAGACCACCTTGAGACTTAAGCTTTTTATGCATATTTGACCCTCAAGTGTTATATTTAAAAAATCAGAGACTTAGGGTTTGAAAAATAAAGGTTATGACATTTTAAAAATACTATATAACACATATAATTTTTAAATTTCTGTATTAATTTAGTTAGTTGACTCTCCACCTAAATTTCACATCTACCATATTCCAGACTATACTAACCTACAGAAGCAAGATCCCAGCTATCCCTTGGGTTCTCCCTTACCTCACTTTCAACACTGCGAACAGTGACTGTGTGTCACAGTGAGAGCTGAAGCTCTACTCCCACATGCTTCGCCACAGGATGCAAGACGGGCCTCCCTGGGCCATCTCAAACTGTCTACTCTGACGGGAAGGCTCTCTTATCTGTCTCCCTCTCAAAGCTAGTCTCCACAGCATCTAAGCAACTCAGTGTCCTGTGTTTATCCTTTCTGATTCTAGATTCTCACTGCGCAATCGTAAAAACCCATGAAAACACAGCTTATTAACCCAGGATTTTCAGGTCTAATTCACAGATTGTTTGAGAGCCTATCTAAGATAATAAGAAAAAATAAACTATAATATTAATAGAATTGACCATTACTGTTTCATAGTGTAAAGTAAATTTTAAATGCAAAGGAATTTTAAAGCTTACAAGTCTGCTACTATACTCAAGGATATTTCAAGGTAGACACAATCTGTTCCCATAATTAGAGTGGCAAAACTCTGCTAGCCTTGGCATTCCAACACCAGTTGCAACATGTAAGATAAGGATAACTCCAAAAAAAAGGTAAGGGTGGCTTAGACAAAAGTACATCTATCTGTTACAGTAACCCACTCCAAAGTTTCAAAGACATATCACCCAGAGAATAACTCAGCTCAGTCTAAGACAATGACTGATTCTTACTGCTCACCCCAGCAACTGACCCTCCTACTGTAGGATAAAAATCCCCCCATTAACTTGCCTGAACTAACTCTGCCTACCAACATATGACAAGAGAACATGTAACCAACTATAAAAAGTCCTGCTATAAGTCGTAATATTTTCTGCTAGCCTTTTGTATTTCCTATTAACAACATATGTAAGTGTTTTATTAACCCCAAGGGCTGATGATCTGGAACTGAGATTCCCACCAGCACACTGGGGTAATAAAGCTGTCTGCCTTCCAAGTTCCTTGGTGCTGAGTTATCTTTCATCTAGTTTGGTCCTATTTTCTGCAACAATAGGAAAACAGTCGCCCTTTGACTCTGGGGCTGAATGGAGCTTAAGTGTTAATACTTGATACTAACTTAGGAATATGAACCTTTTAAAGATGATGTCACATGAATGTCCCCTACACTCGTTTCAAATACTCTGAAAGTGGTAAAATGCTTACTGTAAAATTGACCTTATAATTTCAACTAAATATGCCTGTAAACTCAAGTACATTCTTAATCTTTGCAGATTAAAAATGAGATATATTGTTGCCAAAGGTTATAAAGGAACTGGTAACAGGTGAGACCAGCAATATCATTGATTTTCTTTAAAAAAAAAAAAAAAAAAAGTCCCCAGAGTTTATATGTGAAAAGGTAACAAATGTCAATTCTTCGTAAAAGTGGCTGCCTTCAGAGTAAAAACGAAATATGAAAGGATAGGAAAATGAATTCTAGGGCTGGGGATTCAGCTCAGTGGCATAAGCATCTGCCTGGCAAGCATGATGTTGAGTTTGGTTCCCAGTACCAAAAAACAAATAAATAAATAAACAAGAGACATTCAGCCCCCAAAATAATTAATAATAAATTCGATAATGCAGTTGTATACTCTTCCACAAAGTATTACATATCCCATTTGTAGTTGCTAGCACCGCTACATAAATTTTAGGTGAAAATATGCCATGGGTAGCACTAGAAGAAACATCACAGTTTATTAGTAGAATAAAGCAGACAATGGTGAGGTAAATAAAAAAAAACCAAAAAACATAAAGTGTGCTGGTAATCAAACTACAATAAAATAATGAAGTTTACATTATTTTTCTGAGAAGTCCAGCTGTAAACACTGACATTTAGTACTGTCCCCACCAAACCTAACCATTTGCACAAACAAAAATAACTTTTGTGACTACAAAAATCACGAGTCATTTGTACACTGTGGCTCTTCTGTCTTGGTTTTCAAAGTGAGAAATGAACTGCATTAAGTAGCTTCACTGATTTCTTCATCATCATCTGCCAGTTCTGGAACCTCATTCATCCTCAGAACCTCTTCATAGAGCAAATAATTATGCAGGCTTCTAGGAAGTGGCAATTGGCGGATAAAACTGTCAGATTTTAAGTGGTTTGCTTTGAGGCTGCACCGAATTTCCAAACGACAAAGATGGGCTAAGGATGGAACAGAGGCTGGAGAGATAAAGAAAAAAAGCATGTGACAAGATTATTAACTAGTTAATGTAATTAGTTAACGTAAATGTCCTCCCCACCCCATCTCCATTCCTGTATTGTAAAAGATCCATGGTTTGTTGTTGCTTACACTTAATTTCAAAGAGAATTATGTGGGCCAGGATAACTACATAAATCTTGATCATTTTTTTCTACCTGCTTCTATCTTTCCAGTTGTTGAACACACATTCAAAGTCAGCATCCAAAGCCACAAATTCAAATTCTAGAGATCTAACAATATTGGTTGATACTTAAGGTTTGGGTGACGTTTAAAAATGCTAGAGATGCACACCAGCAAATGCTACATTTCCTTCAGCCTACTCACTGCAAATGGTTTCCAGGCCTACCAAGTCAAGTGACTAGGTATATAGTTTGCAAGCTTTTCTTTTTTTTAAATCTGTGACACAAAAATGAAGTTTCAAACATAGCACAGAGAAAAAGGGAGGATTTAGTGAGTACTTTCCATGACATACGCCCATGTACGTCACATATATTTTATCTTCACTGACCTTATGAGGTACACATACACACAAATACATAATTTTGATATATGCATATTGGTGGGAGGCAGTTCTGGTGTTAAAACCTGGGTTTTGTGCATGCTAAACACATATTCCACCACTGAACAACACTTCCCAAACCCCTGAGGTATGGATTATCATACTATTATAGAGATAAGGAAACAAACAGATTCTAAAATGAAGTAACTTTTTAAAGATCACAGAGTCAGGATTAAAATTCAGATCCACTTGACCCCACAGTCTCTGTGTGGAGATGGGTGTTTGCTAAAAGTACAGTATCCATCACTTCTTGATCTTTTGGCTAAGATTAAGTATAGTAAAAGTTCAGGATCCAAAACCTAATTAACAATTAAGGATAGTTCACATGTACCTAATTAAAAGCAACCATGTGACAAGTTTCATTTTCCAAGATGAAAAGTGTTAACCTAGAAATGTTAATGTCCATGAAAACCAAGAAACTAAAACAGCTAAAGCTTTTAAGTAGGCCAAATCTTTTGGTAGTAGTACAAGAACCCTTCATAAATCTCTCTGAAATGTAAGAAGGATGCATGGACTAGAATCAGTGCTACAGAGACAAGTACGCCAAGCACACAACTGTAACTGTGTGCTGGTAATCAAACTACAATAAAATAATGAAGTTTACATTATTTTTCTGAGAAGTCCAGCTGTAAACACTGACATTTAGTACTGCCCCCACCTAAACCTAACCATTTGCACAAACAAAAATAACTTTTGTGACTACAAAAATCATGAGTAATTTGTACAGTGTGGCTCTGATTCCAGAGCCTGGAATCAGACAGCTACAGCTAGTCTGATTCCAAGTCTAAGGTTCTTTAAGTTCTGGATACTCCACAGAGGCTGAGGTAAACTGCTTCTCTAACATCTTCACTATCTTCCAGATCACTGAAGTTAACGCATCATCTTATATTTTAGTTTATTAGTTTAACCCAACTGGTTCAGAGTTTAAGAGACTCTTCCAACTATAGTGTTTCAAAATGCCACATAAGACAGTAAAAGAATTATCTGATTTTGTACATGAAACCTAGGTCTGCAATGGACATTTTCTTAAAACATTGTTATAATAAAGTCACAGATGCTTTATTATAATAATGTTGTAGCATCCACGGTATACTTATATATTTACTTCCAAAATGTTTTCATACCCATAACTTGTTTAAATTTTTCCCTTTTCTATAGTGTGAGGAATCACTGACAGTTTGGATCTGCAATGTCCCCCAAAGACACATGAACCAGGCTTGATCACCCAAGTGGTACTATCTGGAAATGGTGAAGGCATCAAGAGGTGGGGCCTGCTGGGAGGGCTCTGTGTCACTGGGATCATGCACTCTCAGAGCACTAGGAGACCCCAGTCCCTTCTTCTGCCTTTTTCACTTCCCACTCATGAGATGTATAAATTTGTTTCATCACACAATCCTGCTATGATGTGCTGCCTTACCACAAGCCCCAGCGTAACAGGGCCACCCAACTGTAGACTGGAACCTCCAAAACCAGGTGCCAAAAGAAACTTTTTCTCATTACAAGCTGTTTACCTCAGATGTTTATTACAATAAAAGCTGAATAAAAAAACACTGCTCTCCCTTGAAAGAGGAAAAAAAGTGAAGGTTGTACTGAAGAGCATGCTCAAATTGCAAATGTCATTGTCCAAGGCTGTATATAACCCTATCTTCAACTATCAAATATAAGGAAGCTCTCTTACCTTCAAGACCAGAACTGGTTAGGAACAATAGTCCCATCAGGACCAGAAATGGTTAGGCAACAGAAAGTAGGTGACTGAACCATACATACATACAATATAATTTAAAACATATATAATTGCATTTATAATGTATCATCCAGTTTGCCAGTTTACTACTCTAATTTATAACATAGATTTAAAGATACATACAAAGCAAAGTAAGTCCATAAACCCTCAATATTTTGAAAATATTTTTCATTAAATTCCAGGTGTCTTGCCCAAATCTCATTCAATTTCCACATCTGCTCAGTGCTCATCTCTCCCAAATCTTTTTGAGGCCTAAACTTTACACCAACTGCTTTGGTGCGTGCCTGGAAGCTCAGCTGCTCAAAACGCTGAGCTGGGAGGCACCCATGAGCCCTGGAGTTCAAAGTCAGCTTGAGAACCCCAATTCAACACGAACAAAATAGGATGAGACCCTCATTTCATATGCAGATTGTAATTATTTAATTAATAATGAGCACAAATGTCAAAATGTTTCAGAAATAAGTACCAATAAATACAGACTCTGCATCTGATAGACAAAAGTATGCTAGCATTCTAGTGAGTAGCTCCAGCTGCAAACATGGAAGACACCCCGAGCAGTCCGATGGCCTTTGAGAAGAAATGTCAGGCAGGATGAATCCAGTATTTGGATTAAAATAAAGGTAGTTAAGGAAATGTCCACTTATATTCAGTTAGCATTTAATATATGCTACATTAAATCTCTTCCCATGGCACATTCTTGTCAATGTGTGTATTTATTACACACCCAGAAGGAAGTAAAGGAAGGCTGTGCTACCTTGAGAAAAGCTGCTCACTCGGGCATAAGGGTTCTTTAAAGCTCCCCAATTCTCTGGTTTGACAGACTGCAAAGACTCCATACTCCTTGGGCTGCCTGAGAGAGTTCCTCTGCTACCTCAGATCGCCCTGCTCTGCAGACAGCATTGTCTGACTACACAAAAGCCCTGCTTTCACATCTCTGTAATTCATTGATTTGCCTACAGAAGCTTAACCATTTGTGGTATGTGAATTAAATCCACACCCACCCCACCTGGACCAGAACATTTGTTACAGGCAGGTTAAATGTCCTGTCCCTTTTCACTGTACATCAGCAACATGGCTGTTGTTAACTAGATCCAAATTATCTGACTCCAAGTCTAGGGTTCTTAAAGCTGTGAAAACTGAAAATAATTCTCTTAACATCTTCTAAACCACTTTAAAGTAAAGGTATAGATACTTCAGATAGATTCAAATTTTAATTGCACCATCTTAGTTTTCCTCCTGGGAACAGACCAATGAGCTAAAGAAAAATTAGAGGTAAAAACTGTGTTCAACTGAACTGAGGGAGTTTTCTCCTATTTTTTAATACTTATTTTGTATTAGTATATGTTTGTGATAATATTTATATTTGTTTTGGGGAACTGATATATGTGTATATCTTTTTTTTTTTTTTTTTTTACTTTTTCCTTTTTATCGGTACCGGGGATCGAACTCACGACTGCCTGCTTGCAAGGCAGGCGTTTATGCTGCTGAGCTAAATCCCCAGCCCCTTTTATTTATTTAATTTTTTTTTTGTATATTATATCTTAATCAGTTTCAATCCTCTTGCCTCTGATACTTTTCTCCACTCCCATCTCCAAAAGGTCTGCCTTCTTGATTCCTACATCTCTATTTTATTCTTTAATTTATACTTTGTGTCTACGGTCTCTCATGCAGAAAAACCATACAGTATTTAACTTCTGTGTCTTATTTCTCTTGCAGACTCATGATCCATCCATTTTGTTGATTATGACATGAATTCATTCTTAATTATGGATTATGAATAATAAAATTCCATTCTGTATGTGTACATTTTCATTATCCATCTGTGGAGGAGATAGGAGTTTAGCTGTTGTGAACTGCACTGCTATAAATGTAGTCATGCATATTATCACTGCAGTATGATGTCATTTGAACTCTTTCAGAACTATATGCAGGACAGGTATAGCTGGGTCAAGGAGAATTTCTACTTGTAGCTTTTTGAGGAATCTCATTTCTATTTTCATAGTGAAAAATGCACTACTTTATATTACCGCCAACAACACACAGAGTTCCTTCATCTGCACATACCCACCAGCATTTGCTGTATTTTGTGTTCTTGATGATAGGTACTCTGACTGGGGAAAGAATCTGAGCTGTTCTGATTTACATTTCCTTATGGCTAAAGATACTAAACAGTTTTTCAAGTACAATACTAATTAGCCATTTATATTTCTTTGGAAAAGTGTCTATTCAGGTCATTTGCCCACTTTTTGGACTGGATCATTTGTTTATGGAGTTTAATTTTTTTGAGTTCTATATTCTAAATATTAGTCATCTGTCATAAGACTAGCTGGCAAAATGTTTTCCATTCTGTTACAACTGTATTTTTCACTGTGTTGATTGTTTTGATTGTATGAAGACCTTCATATACATTTATATACTCCCACTTTTTATTCTCTGGAATTATTTCTTATACTACTGGAGTTCTGTTCATGAAGTCTTTGCTGGTGCTTGTGAATTCTAGTGCTTCCCAGTGTTAACTTCTAGCAGGTTCAGTGTTTCTATTGCTATTTGATTCAATTTTAGTACAGGAGAGAGACAAGGGTCTAGTTTCATTTTTCTGCATGCAAATAACCAATCTTCCCAGTAGCATCTGTTGAAGAAGTTATCTTTTCTCCAGC